CCATGCCGGAGGTTCGGTTTACACAGCGCTTGGTTTGGAAAGCACTCCTCTCCCTGGACATCCACAAGTCGAGTGGGCCTGACGGCATCCTCCCAATTGTGCTGAGGACGTGTGCTCCAGAGTTGGCACCGGTTCTAACGCGTTTTTTCCGGTACTCCTACTCTCTAGGCCTAGTCCCAAAATAATGGAAGACGGCTTTCGTACACCCGATCCCTATAAAAGGCGACCGCTCAGATCGGTCAAACTACAGGCCTATCGCCATCACCTCCTTGTTCTCCAAAACAATGGTAGTCCATTGTAAACTGCCAGCTCATGAGGTACCTTGAGGATCACCAGCTGATTAGTGACCGCCAATACGGTTTTCGTCGTTGTCGATCAGCTGGTGATCTTCTGGTCTACCTTACTCATAGATGAGCGGAGGCAGTAGAGTCCAAGAGGGAGGCATTGGCCGGTAGTTTAGACATTGCGAAGACATTCGATCGAATTTGGCACAAAGCGCTTTTTTCGAAGCTCCCTTCCTATGCGCTTCCCGAGAAATTGTGTACTTGGATCACCAGCTTTCTTGCAGATCGGAGCATCAAGGTCGTTGTAGGTGGTGCTAGCTCCGATTACAAGCCTATTAATGCTGGCGTTTCACAAGGCTGCGTGCTATCACCAACGCTGTTTCTTCTGCAATATCAATGATATGTTGCAAGCCGGTAACATTCATTGCTATGCGGATGGCAGCACTGGTGGTGCTCTGTACACCAACCGTGCCAATATTTCTCGTGAAAACGTCTCCGTGTGCCGGGACAAACTCGTGTCTGAAGTCGAGTCTTTGCAACAGTCTCGGATTGGGGACGACTAAATCTAGTCCAGTTTAAATCTCACAAGACACAAGTTGTACCCACTAAATAAAACCCTTTGTCGTATCTCCTCAGTTTCAAGGTACTCCCCTTGTTGCCTCAGCCAGTATCGGAATCCTCGGCGTCGACATATCGAGTGACGTGCAGTTTCGTGGTCACTTTGAAGAGAAGGCCAAATTGGCCTCTAAAAAGCTTGGCGTGCTCAACAGAGCGGGACAATATTTCATGCCGGCACACCGCCTGCAACTTTACAAGGCGCAGGTACGGTCGCACATGGAATGCTATTTCTATCTCTGGGCTGGGACTCCCCAGTGCCAGCTCCTTCCACTTGACCGCATCCAGCGCATAGCGGCTCGAATCGTCGACGACCGAGTGCTTCCGATTAGCAACTCTTTGTAATTTTCTTTCGCATATACCAAGGGACTGCTTTGAGGAATTGTTCTGATTAATCATAGCCTCCAAATTTCATGAACGTACTACGCGGCAAACCTCCCGATACAATCCACACCATCAGGGTGATTAGCGGTCCACCACTGTACGTTTCACAAGTCTTCTTCCGCGTACGACCTCTCTGTGGAACAGTTTACCACCCGCGATTTTTCCGGACCGATACGACCTGGGGACCTTCAAGAAAAAGAGCTTACACCTTTCTAAAAGGTCGGCAACGCACCTGCAATTCCCCTGGTTTTGCAGTGTTCATGGGCGGCGGTAGTCACTTAACATCAGGTGATCCGTATGCTCGTTTGCCTCCTCTTTTATAAAAAAAACAGGCCGTTTTCGCCCACGATTTTATACTTTTGATTAGCAAAATAAATAATTATACAAGATGGAAATAAAACAGAGGAACTTTTTCCAAAAATATTTATTTGACAATAAAAGATAACAAAAGTTATGAAAAAATTCCAGCATGCATAGCCAACGATGTACATCAATTCACAAAAATATTGATCACAGATAATATTAGTACGAAATAAAACTGTAGTAGTTTTCCACAGATAAAAACCTAATAAAACATGTTTCTTTTAACGAAATACAGAGAATACTGACTCACAATTTCACTTACACTGTTCAACAAAAATATAAATAACGTTAATGGAGTTTACATCGCAACGCAAAATAGAGCGTTGCTAAAAATATTTTTATATAAAAAGAAGGCACTTTAGAAGAATGAGTAATTACAAAAATGGCGGAAATATATTTTAAAATTAATGACATAGTCGATAACTTTTAACACAATAATTTCTGATATTTAAGCGAAAACTACACATTGACTATAAGTTATAACTACTTTTACGGATTTTATCGTGTTAAGTCAAGTTTCGTATGCTTTACAGTAGCCATGGTCACGGCGGGGCGGGTGACTGAGGTAATTGACGTGAACGGTCACGTGGGTGCTGTAAATTAAACGCGATAAAATCCGTAGCAGTAGTAGTAGTAAGTAGGTTTGTTCAACTTTAACACGCATACCCATTTATAATGTATTTTTGTGATTTTTTAATTGGTAAATTTTGTACCTATAAAATATATATTATTAAGAGATTAACAGTATTTTAATAAGCCGTATTTTACACAAGCTTAATGTACTAAAATGTTGTATGCAGTTTTTTGTCACCCAGTTGTAAATTCATATCAATCATTCGAGTGAAAAATTTTATGCAGTGCAGCCTCAAATATTTTTCCATTTGTTTTACAATTTGCGAACAAATTATTCTATTTCAAAACGGCGTAACGATAACCTATTTACAGGAAAGAATAAAACAAAATTCGAGGTAATCCTTGAAGTTTTAATTATTTATATACTAAAGAATGAAATATGTTTATTGAGGATTTATCATTCTGCAGAGAATTACTAAGTCTGATAAGAATTTGAATAAAATATTTTTGTCACTTACTGGGTTATGACGTAGGACCGTCCATTTTCTCAAGGTCACTTGCGGGGTTTTAACAAAGGACAGCCGTAAAGGTGGGCTTTACTTCTTTTAGACAAATAAGACAAGCAATATATTCTTTTTATCATTACGCCAACTGTCTGCTGTGTAACAAATCAGTTATATAATAAGTTTTAGGTTCCATTCAATATGATTTATGGTATAACACAATACAATATACAAAAACATGTAATTTGTTGTACCAAATGTTTACACAGTAACTTAGCAGATTTATTTTTTGATTGATTTGATTAGCACTTTTGTTAATACACAATGCATAAACAAGGTAGCTCTTTCATACTTTGTGTACGAAATATAGCAATAACCAATACTGTATGTTTGTATATATAAGTATAATGTATAATTTTTTTCTATAAGTTTGTTCAAATGGATGACCTTTTTTCCATCAGGAAAAAAATATGGTGTAACATGTGAACGAAGTAGAAGTCTACGGCACTGATATTTTCCAAAAAATAAAACAAAAATTTTGAATAAATAATTTAATTAAAATCTATCATAATTCAAATCATATCCACCCCAGCCTGCGAAGTGAAAAGGTCAATGATGCCTACTAAAATTGTTTTATTACAGTTCTTAAATTGTAGGGTGGATATGATTTGAATTTCGATAGATTTTAATTAATTTATTTGTGTAATTCAATTTTTTTGTAAACTATCAGTGCCATGGGCTTCTACTTCGTTCAAATATTACACACTATTTTTTCCAGACGGTAAAAAAGATCATCCAGTATGTGAAAAAGTAGGCGCGTTTAAAACGTGATTTTTTTTTAATTTTCTACTAAAAATTTTTATTACACTACGTTTTTTCCAACATTGTCATTCGATTCTGAGCTATGTTCAAAATGTCAAGCCTCCAGCTCATCAGGAAGTGTTCGAAATTTGAGTTGCAAGATTCCACACGGTACGACAGGCAAACAAATAAGAAATCACTTAATAAAAACGTGGTAAAATAGAGAACCTTCTATATTGTAAGATCGCTTCACGCAAATTGTATTTTTAATCAATTTATAATTTTTTAATATTTTCATCTATTACTAGCAATACGCCCCGGCTTCGCAAGGGACCCCTCATGTACCGAGGACATGTGAGACTGTCGACGTTTTGTGACCGTTAAGTACAGACATGTATTCATGTCCGCATTACGTGCTGCTATTTTCGTCATTAATTGATATAAAAATACAGTATATTTTCGATTGAACACTATTTCATTCGATTCTGAACGAACAAAAGAGTATTCTGAAGAATTATATTCACTCGGTTACATAGACAAGATCAAATATAACAGCCATTCGATTTTGCGCTATGCGGTTAAGTATCGTTTTCGAAAAATATAATATCTATAATGGTGAATTACTGTTATAGTTGTATGATTTACTAAGTAAAGTTGAAACAAAATGACGACCATGCTTATGTTCCCTCATCTTTTGTTGATAAAATTGTTTATCCGAATGCGAATATACACTACATAATTAAATTTAACATTCGAAAACTGAAAACATCTATATAGAGAAAGTGTCACGAAAATATTTGGAAGTGCAACACTTGTAAATGTATTTTATTCTTTTAGTAATAAAAATGTTAATACATGATAATGAGTTTTATAATATAATATCTAAAATTATTTAATTCCCAATTTCGTGACAACCCCTACGTATACCCCTTCATATTTGCGACGACGACGGCGTAAATAGTAAATACTCCCCACGCGGGCGTCGGAGACGCCTGTCATCAAAGGTGTTTCAGAACTGTTAGGTCTTTAAACTGGGGTATGATGATTATTTGATACATTCAATATTTTTACTTTTATAATTCCATGATTCACGAAATAATAAGTATAGAATTTCGAAAAAAGATACATCATAATATTCAAGCTTAAATGTTTGATGGTTTTTAATACTCAGCAGACACTGCTCAGTCTTACATTTTCCAAATAGGCTCAAAAACCAAATATTAATGATTTTTCATAATATAAATAGTTAAAACAAAAAACATAAAAAGCGAGTATATAGCAAACTTAGCAGTACAATCAAATATATTCTACTACATAACCCATGATTAATTTTAGATTGGAGTTATGTAGTATAGTATGTAGAATACAACAGTCAACAATTTTGTGGCAATATTTTTTATATATTTAATTGCTCATAACAGTAACACGAGTTTCCATACTTATATATAAAAGGCATTACAGTGTAGATTGTTGATAATTAGTTATTTTTTGGCAGCCTAAATACTTTGATATTGGAGCCGTCGTACACACAGTCTGTCCTCGATGGATATACACTTTTCAGGTTGCCTTCTGTATCCACAACTTTTACCTGTAAACGTAGAAAATTAAACGTATAATATATCTATTTGCCTTAATTCGATAGATTTGTCGAGTTCCTTGTCTATAACACTTATCGATCTTCTTTTCTACACATTTGTTAACAACCAAAGATGCCGACTACAAATACACACAAGGAATCTCCACTTTGATTTGTAATCGAGGATGATGTCTATGGGCCGCAGCAACCACTTAACATCAGGTGGAATGTGTGCTAGTTTGTTACCCTATCCTATAAAAAAAAGGTTGCCTCATAGGGGGATATTTGCCATAGTTGCCACGCTGGGCAAGCGGGTTGACAAGTGAGTTTTTATTTTTATTTGTTATTAGAAAGACACTGCCTTTTGTTTTTTCCCCTCTGTCACCTCTTACTACACCTACGGGATAATTAGGGTAGTGGATATTCTTACACTGCCACTTGGCATTTATGGCACAAATGGATATCTATGCCATGACTGCCAAATGCCAAAATGAAAAAATGCCTAATATAAATTTATCAGCCCATAAAAGTTCACTGCTGACTCTTTCGTTTTAATTCCTGATATCCACGGGAAGAAAGAAGCGTGATGGATTCTACACACACAACAAATACATATATTATAGACATTCAACCTTTAGAAATAATGTAATAACAGAACTCACACTAATTTCATATCAGTTTTATATCTATGTTTTTTTTTTAATTGTGGTCCACACATTTCACAATGATGTGTACACCAGTTTATATTTACTTTACCTAGCCTCTAAAAAGCTTTCACTTGGACTTTACCTTAAACATTAACAAATAATTGAAAACAATCAGCAATTTACCTGTTGTACTGTAAGTGTGTGATAGGCACTATCGGAATCTGGCCCGTCTGCTATACCAAGCAGAAGGCATTCTTGTAGCAATTTATCCATAACATTCTTGCAGGCGGAAAGCGACGAATGTGATGTCACTTCCACAAACATCGTCTTTGTGGCACTCGACATCTGGAAAAATATATTTTATGTAGATTGTTAGTTATACTGAAACAAGTTAGACTACACATATAGAATAATATTTTATCTGCATATAAAAACGTAATTGTCTGAACATATAACACACTACGCAGATACGATAATATACTAAATGATACATTCGCTCGAAATCCTTTAAACTTACTAGACGTGTTTTTTGTAGAGGGTTGTTAATAGTGTTACCTACAATGAGTTGGCATATATTGCTCCTAGATTTGCTAAACAGCTCGTCAATAGGATTCAGATTTTGATTTTGATACACATGTTGAATTAGCATTTACTATTTACTAAGAGGCGAAGAATTGAATAGAACATGGAAACTATAATACACAATAGAATGGCTGTCAACCTTATTTTGTACGGGGATCGGTGTCGCCGGGAGGACTTATTAACTTATTATTATTATATTACAAGCAATTACGTCGTATTATCCGTTATCACTACTACAAACCCGATTCGCAGTGTCGACAGACTGAGCGAATTTACACATTTTAGGCTTTTGATTAATGTTTTTGACACATCAGTACTTCTTTATTTTTGTAACTAATATTCACGAAATATAAATAGTTTCGACCTATCGGTTGTAGGATATGTCTCCTTTATTTAAATTCAATTTCCCGCTGTTTTTTATACACGTAGTTATTGCACAATTTGCCATTTTTTTTAAATTATTTACATGCAGCGACGCTAGACACGAAAATTGGAAACGATTGATTGTGTTGACATTTATAGGTGTGAATTGACGTGTTAGTGGCTACACGGGTTCCGCCCACACCCCCATTCTATTATGTATATATTATAGTATTCTATGGGATAGTACGTCACATAAAGCTTTAAAAAGACCGAGGGACTTTAATCGAATTTTTTCATTTACTACCTATACTTATCTGCAGGTAAAATTCGATACCATATTTGTTTCTGCAGATAAAATCTGTAGATATATTTGTATAAGCAAATAATATTGTCACCAAATTTCGATATATGTTGGTGTTTACACATACTTAACAATAAATGTAAATTATCTACACTGTGTGTTAGTTCATTGAACTTTATAGAGAGCGCCATTAAAGATATGCACTTAAATACAGATATCTTATCGTATCTGCATAGTGTGTGACTCGCTTAATATTTGAGTCATATACTTAGATATACAAGGTACAGATAGAGTCTCTTAAGCGAGTTACAGCTAAGGTATACAGATAAGGTATTCTTATAGATGTCGCTGGTTGGGACTTAGCCAAACTTATTTCTTATGCAGATGGTACACAATGTCACAAAACGAAAAACTTTTATCTAAAACGCAACTTTCATTGCAAAGTTGCGTTTTAGATAAAAGTTTTCCGTTTTCCAGTGTATGTATAGTATATACACAAACAATGCCTCAGTGCTGTATTCTTTAACTTTAATTTATGACACATTTTTAAATTCTTCTCCTTTTAGGAAAATCCGTATTTTGGTTCATCCATTTTTATTTTTTTCAGTATTTCAGAAAGAAACATTAATCTATGCACTTTTTTAACAAATTAATTTCCCCCGCTAAACCTAGTCTTTAAATAAATTTAAATGGAAAAACTATAGTACTTCCAAAAAATCTTGATACTTCATCAATGATTTATTTTAACTTAAGTATTATGTTTACACTGTAAAGTCCCAATTGAATTCCGAGTGAAACTAGGTCTGCTGGGCGCATGGTTGCTGTAAAATACAACTGTAATTACCTTAGTATCTTCTGAATTAGTGATTGGAGGGAAACTGATCACTTTTCCACTTGCATCTTCTAAACATGGGTACTTTGGTTTTCCTTCCAATAAGTATAAAAACCTGAAATCAAGAAATATATTTATTTATTTATTTATTAAATACATGTGTATGTGTTGACTGAGACATTATTTTGCTCAGTTATCTTTATGAGGAAGCTCAGTCTCTATGCAAGTTATAGAGAGGGCTTATTGCTAGTGTTTTATAATTCCTAATGAGAACATCTACAGTAGAACTAAGTAACATATGATTAGTAAGATGAAGTGGCAACAGCTTTGACATACAGTTCGGTGAATTGATAATATATGGACAGAAAAGTTTTAATTACAACAGGTTTGATCTAGCAAATGTGAAGGATTAACCCTTTATTAACCCTCCCTAAACTCCCTTGTGAAATATAGGTTGTTTGTGGCTTACAACAATGCTTTATGAATTATAGGGGGAGATTTATATTTAAAAGAGAATTTTTGATGGCAGCAACAAGGATTTTGACAATTTCAATACATACTTCAATTACGCAATCATTAACATACTATGGAATTGAGAACTGAGTAAAAAACGAAAGGTTTTTTGGATCAGGACATTTTTTGTTTTCTTTTGAAACCAAAACTTTTCGACATTCCTATGGGTCCTAGGTTAGCCAAATGAGTCTCTTCAATTTGTCACTTTGTATAATTTTGTGTTATTAAAGTAATTATGCAATGTTATGATATATGTAGTAAAGTTACAGCCTATACAGGGTTACTATTCAAAGAGTAGCCAAATTTTAATCTTAAGTTCAAATATATAAATAATTATAAACCACTATTTCAGTTTTTGCAATTACAAGTAAATAAGGTAACTTTTTTTTTAAATTATCCCAAATTGAATGTGATTTACAGGCAACAAAGTTTTTGCCTACCCATCAACCCTTCTGAATGTGTGCATGAGCAGTAAAATCAGTTATAATAATTCATGACCAGGCATTTTGAATTTAAAAGATAAAAAGGACAGAACATTTGAGATTTTTTTTAATTAATTTTTCATACCATTTGCCCATGTTACTTATTCTGAACTTTCTCCACAAATTTGCCAGTTCATTGCAAAATAACCCTGTATATGTACCGCAACGGAGCCCAACATTACTGCTGAAAGGGTTCCTTCCAGAAGATTTCCACATGTCCTTGAAATGTTTTATTCATCAGACATGTAGGTTTCCTAATTTCATTCATCATTTGGTAAGTCAACACTTAAAATTGTAGTTAATTTGTCAAATTTATAGAAAGCACTTAGCCCCTGAGTAATCAGAACTCATGAAATATGTATTTTATATACGATACTCACTTATGAATTCCAGAATAGACATTTCTCTTCTTTTCCTTTCTCAGTGCTTCTGCTTCCGCTGTTAATTGCTGAAATAGCTGTTCTCCTGTGTATGGCCGAGTTCTTGATAATGGTGTTAGCTTTAGTACTTTAGGGGGCTTTGCTGTGTATACAAGGTCACCTGGATAAAAATTCATAATATAATGTATATATGTGCCTATATAGAATAGAGATATTCTATATAATATAGAATAAGAATTGGGGCAATATCTTTATATATAGATAATCATAGGTGTGTTTGTTAGTGATCATAGAACTTCTGAAAAACTTGGCTGGATTAGGTTATGATATATCACAATATATTTGTTTTCCTGCGATGATATTTCATAGCTATGCTAGAAACATATATGTCGGTAATGCCGACCACAATGACTCATTCACAATACAGGCTACGTTAAAGCAATGTCAAAAAAATTACAAAAATAAATCTAGACATCATCATCTAGACAAAAAGGGGAAAAATACAGGCAGGTCTGGGAGTGAATTTGAAACTCATAGCGCAATCAATGCAGGGCAGGTCAACGTCCACCAGGCCAGCTATTTGATTGATTAAGGAGGGCTTTTAACCAAAACTTGATATCTAAGCGTGTATTTTGCGTGCCGGGCTACCTAGTGTAATTATTATAAATAAAATTGAAGTGTCTGTCTATAACATTGAAATAACTGCTTGTGATTACGCTCAGGGGGCTATTTGCATGCTATTAAAACATAAACAATAATTTTATAAAATTTGAAATGAAACTACTAACAAATAAAGAGCAATGACAGGAGTGATCGAGATTATATTTTATCCGAAAACCTTGGAGTTTTTAAAAAAGGAATAATATTTTTTTTTAATAATAAAAATAAAAAATCCACTTCCATTGAGGAGGCCAATGTTTACTATAATACAGTAGAGCCACGATAATCTGAAGCCACAATAATCTGAATGCTTCTATAATCCGAACGACCCCTCCCCTGCTCAAGTTGATATTTTAATTTCAAAAAGCAGATAATTTTTTTTTTCAGAAATTTTGATAAGATAAAGCATTTTCTTTGTCATTTAACACCACTCATCAAAGTACTAGATTTTTTTTTGATGTGTAACACATGTGATAGTACTTAATTATTAATGATTTAAAATTTGTATTCACATTTCAATTATAAAAATCGATGGTTCATTTCAAAAAATGCCCTTTAACACATTTACATACTATAATCTGAATGCCTCATTAATCCAATCGGTGTGTAAATGTTGTGTTCGGATTATCAAGCCGTTCTGTACTAATGACTACTATGGGTGGATTTAAAAAAAGAGAATAGTAGTTATACCAACCTGGTGCAATCTTGCTCATATCATGAGTGGCAATTGTTGCAGTATTTCTTTTATCACAAACTGTGTCATGTAATTTAGTTTGGAGTTGAATAAACTTTTTGAACATGTCGTCTGTTAAATGGATTTCATTAACAATACAACAGAGTATATACGGACGTACATTTCCAACTTCTGTTTCAATTATCTTAACTCTTACTGTGTCATCTTCTACATGTAATATTTTCATAGAGTGACAAAGATCACAGAGTTCATCTGGTGGTGGCTCATCTTGTTTCTTTCCTTTTTTAGCTTTACCTTTGCCAGCGGATTGTGATTGGTCTGTTTTAGGACAGTGTTCCCGAATGTAGTCTATGATTTGTTTCGTACGGCACTGGTCAACCAGTTTCATGAGTCGTTTGTCTGACAGTTTGTTGCCCTTGAGATTCAACTCTGAAACAAAATATTGATATTTGAATAATTTAGTTAAGTTTATAGCGAGATATATTTTAAGTGCTGATTTACCACATGTTCGGCGGTGAAGGAAACCATCGTGAGGAGACCTACATGTCAGAGAAATAAAAAAAAAATATATTTCGAAGACATGTGAAGTTCGCCAACACGCATTGGGGCAGCGCGGCGGACAATTCCTTGCCCTAAAACCCTCTCAGAAATGAGCGGAGGCCTGTGCCCAGCAGTGGGACATATATAGGCTGTAACTTTACTTTACTTTATAGCAAGCTATTTTCAGTAACTCCACTTCTAAGCACATATTTTGCGATACCATTACCACTACAGCATATTAACCCCATACAGTACTCAACATAGACCTCCCCCATAGAGTATCATAGGGGGATATTTGCCATAGTTGCCTGATGCTTGGCAAGCGGGTCAACTGCAGTTTTTTATTCTTAATTGTTATTATGAGGAAGCTGCTGCCCATCTCCTGATTTGTTTCCCTCCGTTGCCTCTTACAAAACCCATGGTATGATATAGGGTAGTGGATTAGTGGATATTCTTACATTGGCATTGAATATTAACATTCTACAGAACAATTTTTAACAAAAACCACTTCCAAAATATCATTATTCGTTTCATTGTTCTTTATCATTCAATGAAAGTCCACAGCTGAACACAGGCTTTTGCCGCTGTAAGGAAGATTTGCCTTAATGGTCATCATTTGGAGACAGATCGACAATTGCAGTACCAGACGACTCTATAATGCAGTGCCTTAAAATCAATCATGCAGATATATATGTTATATATATTATATATATGCTACAAATAATTTGCTATCACTCGACGCCATATTATGGAGTTTGACAGATACGCATATTATTTGAGACGTCAAAACATGGCGTTTGGACAGACGAGGGAATATGAAACATAGCAACATTAAGCTGCTATTTTTCCCTGGTGTTTTGTGAGAGTGTGGTCCTTCCCCGGTCGAACCCATTTAGCGCTACAACTATAATATAGCAGCGTGGCTCTACCACTTATCTTTTGATTTGTTGCCCGCTGTCGCCTCGTATGAAACTCATGAGACAATATAAGATGGTTGGTGGATATTATCACACTGACACTATATGGTTATATCATGGATTAGCATTAACAATTGTGGAATATCAATTTGGCTAACAGATTAGTGAGCTGAAGTGGCAATGGACCGGCCATTTAGTTTGAAGTATTGACAACTGATAGGGAAGAAGGTTCTCGAGTGGCAGTCTCGTACTGGTAGGCAAATTGTAAGGCAACCTCCGACTAGATGGAGTGATGACCTGGTAAGTCATGCAGGATTTAATGGTGCATGGATGCAGCTGGCTCAGAACTGTACTTTATGGTATTCCTTGGGGGAGGCCTATGTTCAGCAGTAGACTTGTAAAGGGCTGTATAATAAATTATGATGATAAATTTGGCTAACCCTAACTATATTTACACAATATAATTTTGTGTTCATACTCAATTAAGAGTACATCTGTACTGCGAGCAATTTAAACAATAGCTTTTAATAATAATCTATTGCTAAAAGATTGTGCCCATACAAGCTAAAGAAGACAACTACAGCTCTGAATTTTTACACCTATTATAAATGGACAAAATCTTCATTCATTATCACCCTATTTCCTACTCTTAAACAAGACCAACATTAATTTTAATGAGACAAAATATTATGGCTATATTTGTGATGTTTTACTTTTCTTTTAATGATCATAATTTTTTAACACATAAAGATGGCAGTATAACTAGGCAATATTAGTTATTTAAAGAGTTTAAATAATTAATTAAACAAAATAATTAATTTTAAGGTAAAAAAACAGTATAGCAGTAGACATAGATTGCTTATTAAATAAATAGTTGTTACAATGTCATAATTCGGGGAAAAAATCAAATATATTTATTATGCACTACATCTATAATCTATTTATTAGATATGGACAAGAGATATGGATTTAATTTAAATGCTGCTTCAATATCCTCTTACGAGAATAATTTACTGATAAAAATATAACAAAATAAACTTTTAAAGTTACCTTTTAATTTTGTCAAATTAGCAATTTCTCCAGGTATTATTTTTAGGTGATTGTCGCCAATGTCAAAATTTTTAACACCAGGTAATATACGGGCCACATAGTTGGGTATTGATTCAATACCATTACCTTTGAGCTTCAAGTCGGTCAGATGAGGTAAATTCGCGTTTTCTATATCCAAAAACTCTGCTAATTTATTGTTAGATATGTCCAAAGTTATCAAATTTGGAAAATCACCAAACCTTGGCATTTTCTCGATTAGATTCGAACTTAAATTTATATTCATTAACTCTTTCATATTGTTTAAGCTTTCAGGGATTTTTGTAATTTGATTACGGGATAAATCTAATACTTTAAGTTTTGGTAAAGAGGTTATATTTTCGTTAAATTCTTGAATTTTGTTTCCGAACAAAAGTAGCGATTGGAGGTTAACAAGCATTTTTATATCATCGGGTATAACAGAAAGACATGTATCGCTGATGTTCAAAAGGTTTAAATTAGTTAATTGGAATAAAGTTTTGTCTAAGCCCTCTTCAGAAATCCGTTTGGAGATTGCAGCACCAGCCAATTTGATTTCGTGTCTATTTTCTGCCTTTGCAGTAGATACTTCATTCCACACACCCATTTTGATATATTCTAATCCTATTTAATTATTTACTCAAATTTGATTTATTTTTAGTTTTGAAAATAAAAATAAATATCACTATTAAACCACGTCGGATTCAAAACTTGAGTCTTGAGAAAGAGTATAATAAGTATATACAGGAATCTTGAGAGTTGGTTGAGAGATGTTTGAGAGTTGAGAACTAGGGATGTTCGTGTTCGATGAACATCGAACATCGTCATCGATGCTAAAAATTAAAACATCGATGTTACCACATGTCAAACATCGATGTCAATGAACCCATAATCGATTAATAAGAACTTGTGAAAAATGCGAACCCGGGAAATCAATATCAACTAATTCTTGCATCTCCTATTAAAGGTTTAAAATTTTGAATAACTCAGAACATCTAAAAGCATCGATCACCTAAAATAATATCATTATGGTGTGTTCACTCTACAACTCAACTCTACTATCAAATGAAAGATTACTCGATTTTAAGAGAGTGATTTCAAAAATAAAATACGACATTATTGGCCTTTCTGAAATAAGAAGAACGGGATATAATATAATAGAAAAGAACGAACATATTTTCTGATATTTTGGGGAAACGAATGGTCAATATGGAGTCGGATTTCTGATAAAAAAGAATATAATCTAAACATCGGGAGCTTCATTGGAGTATCTGAACGCATCTGCATTTTAAATCTCAATTTCGACAACACAAAACTCACCATTGTACAAGTACACGCGCCAACTGTTGATGCAAGCAACCAAGAAATTAATAACTTCTACAACCAACTACAGACTGCACACTGTCAATATAATAACCAGAAAATAATATTAGGCGATTTTAATGCCCGTGTTGGATAGCGAGTACCAGGCGAAGAAAGAATACTGGGCAAATACTGTTACGGAAAAAGAGATAAAAGGGGTGAAATTTTATTTCAATTTTGTTGGGAAAATAAACTATACATTACAAATAGTTTATTTAAAAAGAACAATAAAACTATGTGGACATGGCTCTCGCCAAAGAAAAGAAGTCAAATCGATTATATACTAACGAATAGAAAGGAAAACATCTCAAACTTAGAAATCATATCAAATCTAACGTTTCCCAGCGACCATCGAGTCTTGAGAAGTACACTACAGATTGCACCAATAAAGAAAAGTAGATCAAATTTCAAAAATTATACAACCAAACTCAGTACTTTAGAAGAAAAAGAACAATTCATACAAACATTAAGTACAAACATTAACAAAATTGAATTAGAAGAAAATGAAAATATAGAGTCCTCATACGCCGAAATTAAAAAAAAAACTATAATCACCAGTTTAAATTTAATTCGACAGAAACCAACAACAAAATGGGAGGCCATCCCTGTGCACATAAAATGTGAAGAAAAAAAAAGACGAACGTACATACCTCTACAAAAATATCTACAAATTAATGAAACGGGAACGTTCAGAACGCAGAATAAAAAAAAAGTTAAAACGCACCTCGAATCAACAGATAGTATGAAGAAAGGTCTTATAAATCTTAATATCACCAAACGATGGATATCCTATATAAAAGATGATACTAATGATAAGAAAATATTGTCAAGATCTGATATCATAGAAAAGGTAACAACATTCTATAAAAATTTATACTCAGTAAAAGATACTACTCCTGAAATCGAAACGACCTACCAGAACTCTACAACTCTAGCTAGATTCTCTACACTTGAAATAATAAAAAAATTGAAAGTCTAAAGTCCGATAAAAGCAACGGGCCAGATGGAATTCCAAATGACGCACTAAAATTGGGGAAAATTATACTAGTACCACACATCGGACACAATTTTACTCTACAAAAAAGGAGACCCTGCTGTTATTGGAAACTACCGACCAATAAGCTTACAACCAAATATGTACAAACTATTTGCTTCATGTCTTGAGGATCGCCTAGCAACGTTTAAAGAGAAATTTCAACCGCTGGAACAAGCAGGTTTCAGGAAAAACTTCTCAACAATAGATCACATCCACAATTTAAATTTGATTATAGAGAAATATATAGAGCACAATAGACCACTCTACCTGGCATGTATCGACTATGCAAAAGCCTTCGACTCTATATCACATACGAGCATGTATAAAGCTCTACATGAGTGCGAAGCACCAACGAAGACTATAGATCTTATAAAAGACATCTACTACAAAAGCAAAAGTCGAGTAAAGTTAGAGAGACATGGACCTGAAATAAACATTTGTAGAGGAGTCAGACAAGGTCAGGTAAAAATTCAAGGTGACCCCCTGTCACCTAGAATTTTTATAACTGTGCTACAAAATATAATGAAAACTCTGAACTGGGAAAAGACAGGAATAAATGTAAATAGCAAACTCCTCAGTAATCTTCGATTTTCGGATGACATCATGCTCTTCTCAAGAGAAGATCAAGAGATCCGGTATTAAAAAGACCAATTTTCAGATATTTTGAATTATTTTTAAACTCCTAGAAAACTACAACACTAAATAGCGGTGGATCTCCAGCCCGATTATTATAAGCGAATACACTCGACCGACTAAGAATAATATTAGAAACTTATACATTACAATTAGAAAATATCAAGACATACAGAAGCACCTAATGTATGTAAATATTATTTTTATAAACCTACTCGTATTAAAATAAAACGTAATAAAAATGTTGGTAATTGAAGGACTACGGTTCACTACACACATAATATGCAGTTTCATTTGCACACGAGCACATACCTGCTTATCATATAAATATTACCGACGTACAGTAATTCATATTCAGATATATATACATATTTATATGTGACGTGTAGTAAGTGGAAATGATTATAGCATTTTAAGATTATATTTCGTAAAATAAATATTATGTTGGCAAAATATTTTTGATGCTTTAATAACGTATATTAAGTGAGAGTAATAAATAATTATGAAGAATATTCTAATTGGTATAGAACAGTAGTATAAACCTTTTCATTAACACACATAGGTGACACGACACACACCTCCAACGGTAGAAACATGGTTACGTTAAGTATACTGTTAAGCAAAGTAGGCGGCTTGGCCAATGAGAAAAACACAAATCACATTGACATTAACAGTTGCAGTAGTAATGAAGTTACATTTTATAAATAAGTTCAATTAGCACATTGATAATTGCACTAAAATTAAACAAAATTATCAACAATTGACGACTCCGTGGCGCAGTGGCTTAGCAATGAGTAGCTGCGCTGGGGGTCGCGGGTTCGAATCCCGCACGGAACAAGTATTTGTATGGCCTACAAATAGTTGTTCCGGGTCTGGATGTTTGTCCTTGTGCAATTTATGTTTGTAAACTGCCCCCACGATACAAGAGAAAATCTTAGTGTAGGGTAACGTTTTTTTTTAAAAATAAATAAAAACAAGAGCTTTACAAATAATAGATATAGGTAGAATGCCAAAGGAATTAAAAAAAAATTAAAACTTAAAAATATAGATAATGAGGTTACATTTTTATAAATATGTTTATTTAATACATCTATAATTTCACTAAAATTAAAGAAATTTATTAACAAACCTATAAAAAATAATACAAGTAGATTATTGGAATACAATAATATTAGGAATAAAAGAATAATTATATAACTATAAAATAGAGGTAATGAGATGAGGTTACTTTTTTATAAATAAGTTTATTTAGCACACTTTTAATTATACTAAAATTAGACAAAACTATTAGCAAACCAATACAAATAATACGGGGAAAATGACCAAAGAATAAAAGAAAAATCACATAACTAAAAAATAAAAGTAATGAGGTTATGTTTTTATAAATTGGCTCATTTAACACATTGATAATAACACTAAAATTAAACAAATTTATTAACAAACTTACGCAGATAATAGAGGCGGAGTGCAAAAGAAATAAAAGTAAAATATATTTTTTTGTAATTGGTTATTTCGAACTTTTTTCTGATGAAACGCCAAAAATACGTTCAATATCAGCAATAGATCGCAATTGGTGTATTTTTGAACTATCACTTTGTCTAGATACTAAAGAGGGACGTATATTTACGTCCCTCTTTAGTTCAAATATATTTCCATTTTTTTAGTTTTTTTTTTTACCAAAAATCTCTAGGTCATTTAATAAAGCCTGTTGATCACGCTCATTAAGATTAACTTGTAACTGAGTTACTGTATTACGCAAATCTTGTATGTGGAAGGTAAATTTTGGTTTTTTTAAAAAACACAACTCAGTCTGTAGTTTTTCATTTTCATTCTCTAAAAGAGATATTTTGTTACTGAATGCCGACATGTCACTTTTTAACTCTACTAGTTGATCAGATAAAAAATCTGTAGTCTCCTTCTTTTTTTTAGTTTATCCACTGCTATATCAAACTCTTGCTTAATCTCCTTAGTAATTCAGCTACGCATATGATTTAGTTTCGTATCGAGAAGGGAAGAAAGTTGCTCTAGGGAGATATTAATACATTTATCCGACTGGCGTTGTAACTTACTACTGCTGATGATCGTATTAGTTTGCTCACTAGATGGCGACTTATTAAAGTACTCCTGACCATGAATAATATCCTCATATGACATGTCAGTCTGGTTAAGCGTTGATTCGAATTGTTTTCTAACAGGAATGTCGTCTTTAATACGGCGTGATGTTACATTCACACACGAAGGACAATATCACGTACGCTTAAGGGGAAATATAACCTCAAATGACTTAGCAAGATCCTCCGTTATGCCGAAAGTATCGCAGCATTAATTTTGAAATAAATATATGGTAAAGTTGAGGATTAATGTTAAGGTTTATGTTAGACGAAAACACGATTCCGTAAAATTTTCTCGATAGAAAAAAATCCAAAGTTACCTCCAAACTGAACAATAAACCGCTGTTATTCATAAAATACTTTAAATAAGATCATGAAACTTTGCATACTAACTGAACTAACTATAAAGCAGTGCTTATGTTATTTATTTTTTTTAAAATACCATTATTTTCACTGTAAAAAGAAATTACCTAAACTATCGGCGCGTAAGCTTGATTCCTGTCGCCCCGTTAGTATCGCTCCGGCTTTTGAAGGGAGAAGTTGTGTCGCTTACGATCAGAATACACATTACGCAACAGGACGACGTAAAATTAAAATGGGAAATAACCGTTATAAAAATAAGAAGCGACTGGGTTGGCGTTAAGAAACAGGCATAAATATGATAAACCTAATGAAATAAGTATCTAACGACCTATCTACTTAGAGTATTAGTGATTACAAACATGTCGGTACATAGCATACGACGCGCGGGGAAGTGGGGACGAAATTAGACTTTGAGCGGACTTACTCTAACCTCTTAATATCATGATTTTTAGTTATAAACTGAGCCGTAGTAATATTTAGGCATTTATAATGATACGTGCCCTTACAGCGTATACAAACCAGTAATTCTTCGCGGCGAATCACCTGAGAACATGTTAAGCATTTCATGGTTTTGTATTATTCGTATAAATAATTTATATAGATAGCAAGCAAATAAACACAAAAAAGCAGGTACTCGGTAAATAAACCGACAAGCCAAATACACCCTTGATGGCTGAGTGAGCAAGATGGACTATGCGCAAATAAAGGTCAACGACCGATACAAGCAAAGGATAGGTGACGCAACTCTCAGCTGACATTCACGGTACATATAAACAAATGCACGTAATTAATGCACTTTATTATACACTAATACACTTTGCAAAAAGTATAAATAAATTAATTCACTGTATCTTACAAAAGCACAAACATTAAATAACAAAATATATTGACTATACTTAGAAACGTTTCAAATAACTTTTCAATTTCAAGCTGACTGATAACCGTGTTTACACTTCAACGGATCGCGCGTGACTCCAACTATCACACTGTATTGGTTCATTTTTACCGGTTTCCGACGCTGAACATAAAGTCAGTATCGACAAACCTGATGCACGCAGCGATGAAGTGAATGAATTTTAAACAGGTCGATGTAATAAAAAGCACCGAGAGAATAGGTGCTGCATATGCCCAAACGCCCTTGAGTTTTCCAATTCACAGTCGATATCCCAAGATTATACATTTCAGTGTTTATCCTGAAAATTGACACAGAGTCTATTTCATGACAAACACTGCACAAAATGTTGTTTGTTTTACCAGCGCATACAACACTTAAAGTATTTTTTGCGCAGTGTGAAGAAAATTTAATTGCCAAAAATATTATTGAACGCAGAGGTTGCAAAGTATTATGAAAGAGGTGATCGCTACCAAGCTATTTCGAATTTGTTTTGTATTGTTAATTATGTAATGTTCATGACTGTAAGCTGTTACTAAAAAAAGTTTCCCTGGGTTTCTTGCTGGTTCTTCCCAGGACAGAGGTTTATTCCGAACCAGTGGTAATGAAACAAAAGAATGACTTTCAATAAGTATTGTGCCGGACGGGCGAAACTCTCCGGAGTAAATGTTGTCGAAGATACTTCGCGAGTCGCTCACGTCCTACACCTATAGGTTCCGGTGGGTACTCTCACCGCCGTCTTTGTTGGTGCCGCTGAAATATTGTGGACTGTGGTTAAATCAAAATACACGATTAATAAATACAAATAGCAAGGTAGTGGCCAGCGGTTCAACTTATTGATTAATCGCGAAATTTTATAACTATTATTTATTGATCACGGTTGTTGAACTACGATTGTTCACTATTGGTTGGTCACTGCATATTTCAAAAGATGTCTTTAAATTGTACGGTGGTATCAAAAATCTATTGATAGTAGCTGGTTTTCTAACACTACTGACTAGCAGCTATTATCAACTAAACTAGCTGATTTTATCACTTGTGTAACTGCGGATATCAGTTACCACTTTCACTATATGTAACTGCGAATATCAGTTACGACCTTTTTCGGCTAGCTAACACTTTCACTATATGTAACTGCGAATGTCAGTTACGACCTTTTTAGGCTAGCTAACACTTTCACTATATGTAACTGCGGATATCAGTTACGACCTTTTTAGGCTAGCTAACACTTGCACTATATGTAACTGCGGATATCAGTTACGACCTTTTTCGGCTAGCTAACACTTTCACTATATGTAACTGCGAATATCAGTTACGACCTTTTTTAGGCTAGCTAACACTTTCACTATATGTAACTGCGAATGTTAGTTACGACCTTTTTCGGCTAGCTAACACTTTCACTATGTAACTGCGAATGTCAGTTACGACCTTTTTCGGCTAGCCAACACTTTCACTATTCACTATATACTGCTACTAATCACTTCAGCTACCACCGGATACCACTCACTTCACTTCACTAGTCACTGGTAGTTCTTCACACTACTACGGGTACTGGGTCCCGAGCCCCTAAGGTAGACTTTAGCAATACTTTACAGTGAGCCGCTTGCCATTTTCCGTTTTGCCTCTTTATTGCATAAACTTTT